CCCCTTGCTTCGACAGCCTTACAATTTATCGAATTTTGGATAGCGACGTCATTGAAAATTTCATCACATATTGGCTAGACGGATATACAGTCGCCCGATCACAGCGTGGGGTTTCATAGGTCGTATCCCCCCTCCCCCTGCCGACCGCAAAGCAGTCTCTGCAGCTCTAGATGATTAAGTGCTGTGCATAAGATTGTTTGAGATGAATGTGGAAATTGAATGCTTGTATCACAATACAGGTCCAAGTGCTCAAGGTTTCACAGATTCGATGCTGAAGAAGCCGAGCACATGGCGCATTCTAGGGGCTTCCTTTCAACGGTGCGAATCGCTATGTTATTTTCATGTTTTATCATGTATCACGGGTGAAGAAATTGCCACTGCTTTTTTTGTCTTCGAACTCTGATGAACCCACCGACTATGTTCCGCGATTCTACAGGAGGGGGGGGGGGGTTACTGCGGGCCTTATAAATGATAAATGGCTTTTCGCTGATCAATTTTGTCCATCTGAGTAGCATTCAGGTGCTGCGTATCACACCTACGCATTGAATTGCATGAGTTGGAAAGTGTACATTTCATAATTTTAATCCCATGTAGGGTCTGACATCCACAAAAGGCTTCAAGAAGCTCCATTGGTCTGAGCGAAGTGAGAGCCAGGGCTGCAACTCGCGCAGTGGCGGCGCCACCTCTCCGCTCACACGCTACTCCACCTTTAACTTCTTCACGAGAAGCAATGAAATTAGTATTTCTTGGGCTGGCACTATTTCTTAATTCACATGGTTTGGTTTGAATTTTGAAGTGGAAACGAGCCTGAGGGCCTCCCAGTTACAGTATCTAATTCTTTCGCGCTCCCTGAACCGATGACTTCTTGAGGCGCACGCCATTTTAGGCCCTCTATGCACTAGGCTGCTTTTGCCTTTCCACATAGAAGCGGACGGCCCGGCTCCTTCCATAGGGTGTTGCTTCTGGGTGGATCTGGCAGACCGGGTCAATGGTCCCCAAAAATTGGACTTGGAAAGACCATGTACGAACCCAACTGCTTCTAAAATCCTATATGAAATGGGGACAGGTGCTGATGACCTCAATGGGAATGATTGTACCTCTGCTAGCTCGGGAAGAATTGTCACATTGACTACGCCTTGAACCTGAGCTTGATTGCTTCCTAAGCGAATGTGCTGAGTATAAGGTTTACTTCAGCATCACCTCCATAATTCAGGGTTAAATTCAGGGCTATCAATACCCCCATTTTATAAGCATTGTTGACAGACGTGTCGAAGGCTTGTTCCTTTCGAAGTGGAATGTTTAATATAATTAAGCAAGCCGTGCAACTTCGATCGGATTGGTGCAATACTAGGAAATTAACTTTGCTCGGGCTATTTCTAGATCGAACTCTTGAGGAAGTGCATTTCCTTATGCATTCCAGTTATTCCAGCCACCGTATACTTTCTAAAAACCAAACCCGGCTTCGACTCAAGCCTGCTTTCAAAGAAGCTTCTCAATCAGGGCTGACCGTGGCTAGGGTCTTGATTAAACCCCCTACGAATGAACGTGAGGGGGTCTACCTCGAATGCGACCCTCATCCATGCTCTTTAAAATTTTCTACCAAACGTTACCTAAAACCCGTCAAAAACGACCTTCCCCGCAATCGCACATCCTTTAATTGCCGAAAATCGGCCCCTCCCGGTTTTTTGGCGTTTGTCAACAGACATTACGCCCTCCTTCCAGAAACCATACAACCCCCATCCCCCGTCTGGATCGGCCGGACGGACAGTTGACTCTGCTTTCACCTCGTGGATTGTTTTCTATGACGGTTTTCTGCATGACGTTAGGGCTGGCATCTTACGGGCTACAAAAAATGTTTGAGAATTATATATGTAATACAAAAAATTTAGTCCCTACCCCGACCCTTACCTTTTTTGATTTTTTTCCAAAAGGTACTGAAACCCGTCAAAAACGAACTCCCTCAACCATCGCTCCTTCAGTTGCCGAACATGGACCGCTTTTCGACCTTTTGACCTTCAACTACCAATATTACGACCCCCTTCCAAGATAGCAAATACGACCCCTCCCTCCGTCCGGCAGGGTTGGACGGACGGTTGACCTCGCTCCCAACTCGTGGAAAGTTTTCCCTGACGGTTTTCTGCGTGACGTCAGGACAAGCTCCTTACGCAATACAAAAAAAACCTCTGGAATTATGTCTGTAATGTAAAAAATTTATAACCAGACTGGTTTTTTCGCTGTTTTCATAGGGAAACCTAGACATTTTTAAGGTGAAATTCAGCACTACTACTTTATTGCACACTATTAATAGCATGCACTCTCCATAGTATCGACAGCTTTCCTTAAATATGCACGAGCTCTGGCGCAGGGAATCATCAATCGCAGCTTAAGTACGCTCATTTCACGCACTATAAAATCGGAAATATTGCTTCGGTCAATTGTAGTGGCAAGTGGCACGCTTACCACGCGAGCGGTCCGGGGATCAAATCCTGGGTCGTGAGTCGCCCGGGCCAACCAAGCCTTCCATCCCTCCGGGGTCGGTTAATTGGTACCAGACTTGTCTGGGAGGATAAAAACACTGACTTGTACATCGGCTGGCCCCCGCAAGTCATTGTATAGGCCACATCGCATTCAAACGCCACTACGAATGTACAAATGGAAGTAGAATGCGTGCCGCATCCCAAAAGGGATTGATCAACGGCAAATGCTTTATCCTTTTATTGCTTCGGTCTGGTTCCGAATTGCGCCACGCATTCGAATTTTATCCGGAATTGAAGCGATTTTTGAATGCTCACTTGACGTAAGTAGAAGGCCTTGTACGAGAGCCAACCAGCGTACCAAACGGCTGTCGTAACCCTGAGACACTCTCAGATAACAAACCTCTGGCTGTGAAGAGTTTGCTTGGTCTGCGCGAAGTTTGATCCAGGGTGAAGTCCAGAACCCAATATATGTATGATAGCAATGTCGCTTTGACCAATTCATCTTTTTTCCATGAAATAAAAAAATCACAAAAATAGAAATTAAATAAAAAATAAAAATAGATAAATAAAAATAAATAAAAATCTGACACCATAACAACTTTTTTAAATGACTCGGACTGCTTTTTAAAAATCGGGTGTTGATGGCGCATGCAAGGAGTGAGCTTCGCAACGGTTTAAACAATAATATTTAGTCACTCATCACCTCGGCTTGAAAATCACTCTCCAGTAAATAATCCCAAAAGTCAGGGTTCTCTGTCTGAATACCCACCTGATGGCTTAGGTCGGGCAAAAATGCTGATTTCTACTGATTCGACCAGCGATCACTCTCGGGTGGTCGAGATTATGTCTACGTGCATACATCAGTAGTTGTTGAGGTAATATTGCCATCGGCTATATTCCACCTGTTGGCCGGTTAGCGCTACCAACCTGGTGGCCAATCTATCCTGCGGTTACCTTAGTTCCAATTTATGGAACTAATTTTCGGTAATGGTCTCAGTTCTCTTTTAACCAGAATTTTCAACAATCTAGTTATCAATACCTACCAATGTTGCTGCATTTTATATTCTTTCCAATATCCTTTTTGACTTGCTAATCCGCTAGAGCCCCTTGAAGTTTATAAGTTTTTCCGCTAACTCTCCTAGAAAACTTTTCCAGTATCGTAGATGATAAACAATCCCTAAAATTTCTAGTCGGCCATCTATTTCTGGTGTCCCATGCCAGATAAAATGAGGTCAATAGCCGCAGAAATGAAGCGTATTGGCCCCGCTTGATAACCTCTGACGCTATGGAGGCGAATTCTTGGAAGAATAGACGTCAGTGTGTCCAGAGCGAGGCCGGATCCGGCTAGAGTGCTGCTGTGGGTAGTGCCTTTGCCTCAGGACCATATTCGCTGACATCGGAGCTGATTTGGATCCATAGTTAATTTTTTCTATGATATGCCACCAAGTAAAAAACGAGTAACCTCAAAGGACGGTTTAATGTAAAACAATTACTGTAAAGTCTAAAGTTCTCGAAAAGGACGGCCTCCGGGTTCGTCAAGTGGCGGCTAAGGCCTGTTCGAAGTATGTTCATAGAGGCTGACAGCGACTCGATTTTTGCAATGGACAAGCTCAATGGTCCGAGGCGCTGTTTCGAATTTCGTTCCCACCGGTTCGATACCTTCCACGATCCTCTTTCTAATTAGCCAATGGTTTTGTTCCTGGAGATTTGGCAGAACATCGGCTTCCTTTGGAAGTGTGGATTTTCTTGGAACTGCTCTGCGTTTTCGATTTCTCCCATGTTTTTGATACTTGGTCTCAATCGATGGGCGAACAACTTGATGCGTGCAGATGATTGGAGAAGAGCCATCTCGTTCTCATCAATTTAAAGCCGATAATTCCCAGTGAATCCAGCCTATCGTTCCATTTGTCCCGTCTGACGACATGTTACACAACACTCAAAAGTGCATCTCATTCGAAAGAACAAATCTCATGATTCCCTTTTCTATGAGACGCTATTGTTCAACCTGGCCAAAACATAGCAAATCCTCCAGGGAGCCCTACAGTAATCCGTGATACGGTGCAGGTACGGTAGGTATTGAGCGCTGTCGGCTGAGGAGCATGGCAGCAGGGTGACGCCCTTTGGACAGAAGACACTGACGACAGGCCGGCGACACGAGGACGGTGGTAGCGACGACAGGCGTGTGTGAGGGGGCACCAAAGCAACGCGGCGCGGCGGCGGCGGCGGCAGCAGCAGTAGCAGCAGCGGCGGCGGCGCCGGCGATCGAGCGTGCGAGGCTAGGGTTATTTACCCCGCCCCAGGCAGCGTCGATCCGCATTGATCTGATCGCTGCTGCCCTCGGTCAACCTACGCTCAAGCACTCACTCAAACTTGCTCTATCCTAATTTATGCCGTGACCATACATGACCGTCGTCGTCGTCGTCATCTGAAACCAGCACTACATCGACCGAGTCCGTCCACGCGGCACCAGTGCTGGCCCTTTTATGACAGGCATATCGCCTTCTCAAGGGGCCTTCTGGTGAGATGGATTACCTGTCGGTACCCGATAGTCCGCAACAACCTCGACGGCGTGATTTGGATGTACCAAAAATGTGGAACGAGCTACGTAAGAAGAGCATCAGCGAGTTGAGTCTAGTGTTCGATATATTCCGCGGACGAAGTCCATCCACCAGTCAGGTAATGCACCCCGAAAGGGAGCGAGCTTGTCAGTCGACTGGTAATCTTCAGACACCGCCAAAAGCGGGACATCGTCGACGGCGGATGCAACGCACTTGGAAGGCGCTATCCGCTGCCAACCTTGCTCGGCACTACGTCCTTGGTGAGGCGTTTCTCGCTTTTAGCTCGTCGCATTAGTTATTTTCATTCCTAATTTAGCCCTTTAGCGGCTTTAGTTCCTCATTTTTCTTTTAATCGATTTTATCTTCCATTTTTTAATGACTGCTGTGAAACTAGTTAGTTAGAACTTTAGCTGGAGAGTTCTTTAGAGCGATTCTCTTCCAATGCTCTTTTAGCCCCCAAAAGGCAAGAACTGCGATCTAGAAGTATTTCGACAGTGGCGTTGTCCTTTAAGGATTGATCCTGTACCTCGATATCGATTAAGATATGTGATTATCGATTGATATAAGCGCTAGAAGTTGTGTTGGTAAGAGAAAACAATATAACTGGACAGATGACACGGCTGCTGCGAGAGCAGAGTCGAGAGTTCGGTCGTAAGTGAGAGAGAGCCGAGCCGAGCCGAGAGAAGAAGCGCTGGCCAAGCGCAGGTTGAACAGGATAGGGGGACAGGGAGCGGTGTTAACGTCAACGGAAGTCCTTCTTAAGTGGAATTTGAGAACATCCACCGTAAGCCGTGCGTCGGCCCGGCGCTATTTTGAACGCTTTCGAGGCGCGAATCGTTTATAATGCCCCCCAAAAGTATAAATTATAAACATCAAAGGCGATGAAAATCAGCCTAATTTTCAATGCGACGTCGGCTGAGTGGGTGTTTCAATTGAAGGCTTAGTTTTTTAGGTGATTTCGTTGTTTTGATTGCTGTTTGATTTTAGTTCAAGAGGAGAAGGCGATGCAAGCGGTACCCACTGCGCCTATCGACGCCAATAAATTCGTCGCCTACGTGACCGAGCGACGGAAAAAGCGAATACTGTTCAAAGGAGAATATCTTGTGAGTTCGAACTCCTCAGCGAAAGTTATTCCGGTTCACGGAAACCAATTAAAGCTCAATGCAATCTGTCACCCAATCAAAGCCAAGTGGCTGGCTGGCTACTTACCCATTCATGACTTTTTGAGGATTTACTTGGAAAATGGCCTCTATTGCTCTAACCCTTTAATCTTTCCTCAATTGACGCTGGGAAGCCAATAAAATCCCACCGTGGCCATTTTCGATGATTAATGCCATTTTCAGGCCTCGGAACACCAATACCACGCTGATTAGCTCTCCGTTAGTGGCCATCAGGGCTAGGTACAACCCTCACAGAGAAGGGTGGCAGCTCTTTTCTTTTCTTCAGCTTCATTGGTCAAGGTTATGGGACCATGGCTAGGTGGTTGGCTCTTCTCCAAGTGCCACTCCTAATTATGCTCCCATAGAAGCTGTGTGATCCCTGATTCCTTCTGCTTTTTGCTTTGCCATCTACAGTATAGGAGCATATTTCGGTCATATTTTCAGTACTATCTTCAGTACTTCTACCTCAGTGGTCGTAAATCGATGATTTGTTTCGATCATTTGGCCTGCCTGATCTACAGAACCCAATACCTGAAGTGTTTTTCGCTCCAGCTGCATTGTTGACAAGAACGTCACACCTTTATACGATGTATTCATCTTTTCCTAGCCGATTTTGCCATTTACGCTGACGGCTTCGAACTACTCGTTCGGGTCCTGTGCTCTCTGTCCCAGTCGTTGGTCCAAGGTTTCCTCCAGGGGATCTGCCCATCTCATTTTATTTCCTTCCGGTGGCCGAGTGTGGTCCAATGGGAACCATTCGATATGTCGCAAAGCAGGCTTTTTTTGACCGCTCCAATCCTCGTCTACTTTTGTATACATATCCCGAAAACCTTGGGTGATGTTGGGGTCATATTTAGCCTAGGGATCAATTATTTTGAGTTCGAGTTGGCTGTATCGATTAGAATGTAAGTAGGTTTGTGTTAAGCTGGTGGAGTGCTGCAGCAAAACACAGCCGTGTTGTGTAATTCCCTTTTTTCCTACCGAAAAACCTCAGAGCGCGTCGGCAATCACACACACACACACTGTTCAAAGCTTCAAAGTGACGACCAAGCCTCGGACGAGGTTCACTCGTGGTCGTTAGAGATCTCCATACGCCCCAGAAATGGAACCCCTCGGGGCAATTCGGTCCCATGACGCTATGATAATCGGCTTTTCGAATGTGAATTCATCTAGCGGCGTTTATGATCCAACCAGCGGCGTTCGACGAGCTCTTTGAGCTTTTGCGGAGGCGCCGCTATCAGCCTCAACAATTAACGGCTGATAACAAACTGTTTGTGCGTAGCGTAGCGGAGTGTCAAAGTAATTCATTAGAAAAGCAACAGGTGGTGACAGATTTGCCAGCGGCAACTTCAAAAAATGTCCTTGGTGCCGACTGTTCCCTCAGGGCGTCTGCATAGTCCCCGAGTCCCATGGAAAAGTACCTATTGTTCTCGTGAATGACGTTTCTATTGCAGATGATAAACCGTTCGATAGATACTGCTAAATCGATGTGATGTAGGAAGTACCTCACCGAAAGGAATCCCTATCCTGTAAGTGTGTCAATAGGTCCTGTACTTTATTCGGGTTCAACCAAGTGCTATGTTTTAGGACACTCTACCGTACGACTACAATCGGGTCATCCTTCCACGTTTGCCATGTGATGCGAATTCCGCATACATTCATGCTAAGTTATGTCCAACCGTAAGTATATTTTAACTGAAGTTTTTCATTTCCTATTACGTTTCGTTTTTTTTTTCTGGAACTCAGCCAAATTACGTGCTTGCCACATGAGTGGATCTGTGCGTCATGGTGGCGAAAAAGTGCAACGCGAAATAAAAAAAAAAACTGTTTTTTTATTTTTAGGCCCCGCCCATGTCCCCAAGCCCCCCTTGTAACGGTAGCCCGCATTGATGTGGATAGACTATTTGCACTGTTGTATCATCAGAAAAGGGGCTATTCTACTGTTGTAACCGGAGCCATCTTTCATGTTCCAATGTCCAAGATAAATGAAAGACTAGGAGCGTCTTGAACTGGACCAACTTCTTACCGATTGAATTATTTTTATGCGAAAATTTCATTTTCAGCAGCTAGGTGTGGGGGGGGGGGTGGTTGCAAGAACTGCATCAGTGTTTGTTGTTCCTCAGAGTCCCTGGCGATTTTTCCTTAGTGTGACGGGCTCCTGAATATTACCAGGACCAGATAATCTTCCATTTTTCAGAGTTGGTTTGAGGGAAAAAGCCTACGTGGTCACTCAAGCGGTTCGTACGAAGCCGATGAATGTCGAATTTTGGCGAATGGTCTGGGAACTCGGTTCGAATTGCATAGTTATGCTGACCAAAGTGTTCGATTTTATGCGGGTAAGCAGACGCAACATACGTCTGGCCGAGGATTACGGTAGCGACAGTCTCTCTCAACCTGCCCTTTAGGGTAATGTCTCAACCTTTATAGGTAATGTGCCTCCAGTATTGGCCACTAACACGGTTCACATTTGGTGATATTGAAGTGGAGACAATCGACACTCATACCTATGCACATTTTGTAAGTGATTTCTGTTCAGTCTCGAATCAGTACTGACAGCAGTATAACGTAAACGAGCTTTATCGATCGATTTGCTGTGCCGTGAATAGAAAAACAGCTGCTTCGCAGCTGCGCAAATCGAGATGACATCGTGGAAAAATCACTATTAAAATACCTGTCCGGCCTGGCAAAATAGCTATGCAAGCTTCAACGAAAAGAAAACATATTGAAAAATTTAGAAATGGGGTAACGATTTAATTACATTTTGAATTAGATTTTTTTCCACATAATTCAAGATTTTCATCCTGGTTAATTTTTTTACATTCGTTGTTTACATCTTGACTGCTTTGAGAACATTTATTCACCAACATTCGTTTTTTTGTATAAATGAATTATCGATTTAAGATGTTTCGTGATTACCTGATTAATTTAAGTGCTGTGTACTAAATAGTCACCAAGCACATGAATACTTGTTCTAGCATTACACAAGCTGAATATCAATCAGCTCTATATCCCCTATCAATCAGCTCTATTCTATCAATCGATTGGAAGGAAAAAGGTAGCACAAAAGATAAAAATGTTCGCGCCAAAAAAAGCGGAAAACCTGGCAGAACCAAAAAATTTGCCCTCAGTTCCACCCTTCCCAAATTTCTAGGTCGTTTTGATAACCACACGACTCGTTTCTGATTATTAACTGCCACTTTCTGCCCCAGTTCGCCTTGCGAAAGTTTTCCAAGAATGCTGGGTCATGAACAAAACTTTTGCTGCAGGATCAAGTCCCGCCCGGATAGAAAGTTTTGATCCTAAGCCAGCATTCTTAGCACGCTGACTGTTTACTGAGTGTGGACACTGTTTTGAAATCCTAGAACCAGATCTCAAGAAGCTTTGCACAGCCACGAGTGGTGTTCGGTGTCCTACACTCGCGAGTGAAGGTTGATCGCCTGTGCCATCCACAAAGGGTATTACAGTGAACTCAGATTTCATTTTTCCATGTCAAGTGTAAACGAAACGTAAGCTATGAATAAATTATTTATTCTTCAAATTTCCAACTTTTCAAACCACATGTTCCCGACTGGAAATTTCCTTGAAATCAATATGTGTGGACGTTTCTGGATTTTGAGACTTCGCAAATCTTGTGTAAGTAAGTGCAAAAGTGCGCAACTAGAACGAAAGGGCCTTACAGTGACCCCTTCAAGCGCTTCCGCTTTTTCTCTTCCACAACACACTGATATCCTCTTGATATCTCTCTCTTTCTCGCCTATCTTCTCTTCTCCGCGCTCAATTTCTCGTTGCATAGCCCTGCTAGAGTTTTCGACGAATTGAGCAAGCCCTTAGTTGAAGTTCTTAACGAATTCTTTTCCTTTTTTCTTCTATTTCTTTTCCTTTTACCCAGTTCGCACCAATGCTTTCATTTTCGTTGCCCTGAGACGACCAAATTGATCCTGAGACGTGCCTTTAGGTTCATGCGACACCTTTCATTGATCTCGCTTGTTTCAGAGTGTGTTTGATTAATGTATTTTTATAATTCTCGTTTCGGATGTATCAGAAGTTGCAGGGAATCCGAGGATTGCCTTTTATGCATAACTATGTTTCTAGGCAAAAGTGGTGAAAAGCAGTCGCCTAAATGATTTTTAACTTTTCATTATTTTAGCGTTACCTTTCTACATTGAACAATTCGCTTCAATTTCTGACCTATTATGCCATTCATTTTTTTGATTCCTCAAGTCAAGAATACAAAACAAACTTTTCTTTGTTTTTTTTTTCTTCAGATTCTAGAGGTAATTATTGACGTTCTGGAGAATTCATTTTTTTGTAGTGTATTACGGCTTCTCGGATTCTCGCTACTCCTTGCTTATGCTCCATGAAACAATCACTATTTGTCGACCTAATGAAATGTGGTGCAGCCGTAGTCGACGGAAACACACTATTTACCTGTTTCTATTTGTAGTCATTATCCTCTCCAGTTCTCAAAGGAAGAGTAACCCTTCTCCTTCATCCTCCAGCCATTAGGAGACGATCAGCTTCTGATTTTTTCACCCACATCTCCTTACTTTTGAAAAGGATGGTTTTAATTCCAAGCAACCATTGCGAAGTTGCGTCTCGTCTTCACTTTTCTGCGGCTAAATCGCTTCGTTTTATCCTATTGCGTCACTGAGCGGCATTACAGCTTCACTAATGTGATTACCCCCCCCCTCACAGCTGTTGGTTATCAATTTGGGTTATGAGGATTTTTAGTATAAAAACAAGTAGAGAGCTAATTGGTTGATGCTAAGTCAATTTTTGAGGTTGCGCCGTGCACGTAACTCATTTTGAGTTGCAGTGGCTTTGGAAAGCGTATTTGGTCTATTTGTAGCAAATGATTGCTAGTGACCCGTTGCTCAAATGGAGTTAGATATGTTGAGGATTG